AATTTCAAGCATTTACTGTATGTTCACCCTATATTCTGTAATGAAAAAAATTCATATAAATTCAAAGAGCTCTCCTGTAGTATTTTATATTCCTTCAGCATACCTTTTAATTCCTTTGTCATCTATCCACCTGTTTTGTGGATTTCCTACTGCTAATATTCCCTTCCCCATTAATTTTTGTCAGACTTTATTTTTACTTTTTGTCACATACACCTCTAATATCGTTTTAAAAAAACTTCTTGACTTTTATCTCTGGATAAGTTTTAGGAATAAAGGCACCTCAGATTTTATCTATTGTAACTGAAAGTTCAATATACTCTCAGATAGAGAGTGAATGGGTGGTAGGGAACTGCAATATATTCCTCCAATGATATGATGTTTAGCATGATGCAAATGATTCAAAATTTCCTGACTATACAACATTATTGTGAGTGTGGGGGAACTTGCACTTTTCTTCGAGGAATTGTTTCTTTTTTAACATCTATCAGGATGAAATTTATTTTAAATTGCTCCACATCACATTGTTTTTTTGTTGTGTGAATGGCCATGTTACTGTATTCTGTGCATGGGGGAGTTATCTGTGTGTTGATGTCTTGATGATGTGTTTGAGGTGGTACGGGATGCGGTTCCATTGGAAAATCAGCAGTTGTGCCTAATGACCAAACAACAAAAAATGCTATGAATTGTCAAGTCCGCAGGAACAGCACCAATACAGAAGTTGCTTGTAGAATTAGAAAGTTCAAGTGTCCTTTTGAATTTCAAATTCAGACAAAAATCCAAGATATCTTCCTCAACTGTATCCATAACAGAAGAATCAGCTCCACGTGCAGAATCTTCAGAACCTAGAGCAAGCTTGCAAGGGCCTTAGTGGTCTAAGTGGCAACAGCAGCTCTGGCCTCTTCAGCATTCCTGTTCTTTCTCTTTCAGAACTCTTACTCATAGCCCCCTCGTTCTTAGTCTCATCTCTTTGGGCTAAACCAATATTAAATAGGGGTTACACAAGCACCAACTTTCACAGGTCTGTGCAGGGTACAAAAATGTCTTATGTGATTCTAATGAGGATCCTTCTACAACACAGCCTTAGTTGCACATGAGCAAGCATAGAACAATTGAAATGTTGTTATTTAACACACACACACCCTTTCCACTTAGATAGTTAAATGTAGCATATCATTTAGGTAAATATACGTACTTAGAAAGTTTGCTGTCCAATACATCCCTTTTGACAGATATAAACAACTTCTTCTGTTTGTTCCACTGCAAAATGGAAGAACATCAAAAGGGGAGGATGAGAGAAGATTGCCAAGAAATCTCAGTTTTTAGCTGGATAAGCCTATATTTAACTTGGCTCACACAAAAGCTCTCTATGAGACTGTGAAAGCTGGTGAGCGAATAATGACAGGGGCTGCAGCTTGGTGACTCTTTATTCGCAGATGTGTCACGTGTGTGCCATGTGAGCCCCCTGAAGTTCTTTAGACAGATACCAAATCTGCATCATAAACTACTGGAACAACCTTCCTCCAGAGATTCGTGAGGCCCCGTCGCTGGGTATTTTTAAGACCCATCTCAAAACTTGGATGTTCAAGCAGGCTTTCCCTCCAGATAACACTTAACCTTTTCTTCTTTAATTTATTTTTTGTTGTATTGCCATCTTGAAAATATGTCTACTGCTTATTGTTGGCTGCTTATTGTTATTGTGTATAGTATATTGGTTTTTTGTTATATGTTCATTTTATTGTGTTTATATGCCTGGAAGCCACCTAGAGTGGTCATTTTGAAGAATGAATAAATAAATAAATAAATAAATAAATAAATAAATAAATAAATATACAGTCCAGGACCTCAGATTGTGAGGGGCCTCGGAATAATTTTTTTAAAGCATAAATTTTATTCAAGTTGAAGTTTTCCATTATATACATTTTTTGATAACACTGTGGGGCCTCTTGCACATTCCAGACTGAAAGCCTCAGCATGTCTTAATCTAGCTGTGTCAACAGATCAGGCTTCCCTAACCTGGTGCCCTTCAAGCTGCCTGGGGCATTATAGGAATTGTGGACCATCACTGTTGGGCACCAAATTGGAGAAGCATGCTGTAGAACAGAGGTGTCATATTCAATTTCATCTTGGGCCGCATTGGCATTATGATTGCCCTCAAAGGGCCGGTTGTATCTGTAAGACTATATAAATGCATCTACTCTTTATCATATTAAATATAATCCTCCTCATTCGATTATTCCTGGTTTTAGTAATAATGTAGGTAATAACTAGCTCTGAAAGTAAAAGTCTATTATCAAAGTCTAGAAATAATGGCAAGCAGATAGTCAACTGTACAACTACTGTACAATTTATTGAAAAGTGAGTTTTAGTAACACCTGTTGATGCCCGCTCCACAGCCCCAGCCGTGTTTGTTTGTTTTGTTAATTGTTCACAGTCTCCCACCTTTCCCTCGCGTTTACCACGGCCCTCGGCCCTCGTTATCACCTGGCTCCTCACTCACGTCTGTAGCCATTGTGGGAGAGGAGGCAGAGATGGCCACTGTTAGACAACGCCATCAAACAGTCCTTGCCAGAAGCCATAAGAACGGGAGTGGGCAATAGCAAGTACTACATTTCCCAAGGTGCTGTACACTGCCCAAGCGGCTGCACTTTCTGACTTTTTGCATCTTGGAATGCTGGGATTAGAATGCTGGGGCAGATTCCCAGCATCTTTGCAGAGCATTATGAGTGACCAAGGAAGCGCCTGCGTATTGTATGCTGCACAGTAGCAGGCAACACTCCGAGGGCCACATAAAATGGCCCGCCAGGCCAGATTCATCCCGCAGGCCTTGAGTTTGACACGTGTTGTAGAGGACCTAACTGGCAGTAGACCTCTCTTTAGTTCCTTCTTCAATACGCTCATATCTGATTTACTTTAGAATGCTGCATAATCTACAGCTGTTTCCTTACAACTGCAGAGGTCACAAATGATGGTATTTTCTTTACTGAGATGGAAAATGAGATTGCACTCCTCCCATTCTATTTACCAAACTGAAAGTAGGATCTTTCTTCAACAGTGGTTGATGCAGCAGCATCCTTTATTGCGCCTTAGTGCAAAGCAGGTCGTGTAGCATAGGATCTCTCCTTCAACCCATTCCTGCTGCTTCCCAGTGTCTCACTCTGCCTAATGGGAAGGTTGGACCTACCCATTAATGGTATTCATTTTCTTCTTGAAAGTTGCTTACAGAACCTACCATATACAGTTAAAGCACAATTAACTTTTGTTAATTGATCCTTCCTATAGGCATTCTTTCTGAAGAATAATGGCTTGTTGAAACCTAGATCTTTTGATGGCTATACTGGTTTCTCAGAAAAAGAGACAATAATTTGTTTTCCTCTTTGGACTAATTTGCTCAAAAACACTGGAAACACATTTCAGTCAGAATAAGGACAGAGAGAAAGAGAGAGAGTTTAATCCACACATGTTTACATGGTCTGCCTTACTGGTACCCTGTTTCCCTGAAAATTAGACTTAACCTGAAAATAAGCCCTAGTATGATTTTTCAGGATGCTCAGAATATAAGCCCTACCCAAAAAATAAGCCCCAGTGAAGTGAAACCCCACCCTCCACCATCATGCAGCAACTAGAAGAAGATGACATGACAGTATTTGAATAAATGTAGATCGTTGTACATTTTAAAAAAACATCCCCTGAAAATAAGCCCTAATGCGTTTTTGAAGCAAAAACTAATATATGACCCTGTCTTATTTTTGGGGAAACATGGTATCTGTCTCAAGGTATTTATCCCAAACTGTAGAAGTGAGAGGTCTGTGTAACTGAAGCAGCCCACCTACCCTCCCCCTTAGTTCCTTCTGAGTCTTCCAGCTGTTGCCATCTTCCTGAGCTGGCTCTCTGGTTGTGATGATGTTACATCTGTCTGTTTCATCTGAAACTTACTCTCAGTATGTCACATATATATTTATCTCTTGCTCTGTTCAAAGGATTCACTGTGGTGGTGCCAGCTCAGCATTGCAGATGTTTGTTTGAACAGATAAGAAACAGGTGCTAGGCCATAAGCTAAGTAAACAGATATGTGGCACTGAAGGGGAGAGATATTCCAAACCCATGAACTAGCCTGGGGGACAACAGGGGCCCATCATCACTGTTGAAGTAAGATTGAGAAGCTGACTGCTAACCAGTCAGCTTCTAAATATGAAATGGAGGATATATTTGCATGTTGTCTTTGGCAGCAAAATGTCTGCTCACCTGGCTTGCTAAGAACTTCCTTGGTAATTGTTTCAAGAAGGATGTGGGTTTGGGAAAGGCTTGCCTTGTAATATTCTTGAAAGGACCTTGAGTTTTCTTAAACTCCTGCCAAATATGAAGCGCTGAATTTTATCATCCTGTTTGTTTGGATACTAGGCTGCACTTTTCGCACTCTTCAAGGGCAGTGGAAATAACCCCGTTTTATCTGATCTCAATCTCTCTCTCTCTCTCTCTCTCTGTGTGTGTGTGTGTGTGTGTGTGAGAGAGAGAGAGAGAGAGAGAGAGAGAGAGAGAGAGAGAGAGAGAGAGAGAGAGAGAGAGAGAGAGAGAGAGAGAGAGAGAGAGAGAGAGAGAGAGAGAGAGAGAGATAGAGAGATGCCAGGGATTGAATCTGGGACTTTTTAAGTGCACACACAGAGAGAGAGAGAGAGAGATATGCCAGGGGTTGAATCTGGGACCTTTTAAGTACACTGGCCTATAGCCTTCCTCAGTGCGGCATAAAGGTTATTGAGCGAAGTGGAATCTGAGTTTGGAAACATAGTTTTTGGGGGATGCTGGCTGGGGGATGCTGGGAATAGTCCCAGAAAGTAATTTTATAAACTACACCATCTGGTGTTTTGTTTGCATGTTTCAATTTGTACCAGGGCAGAGTTAACTGGCAAAAGCTTCTTTGGATGGAAACTTTCAAATTTGGCATTCATTCACTAATCTTACTCTGGAAGGTTCTCCTGACCCTTCTCTTTCTGTTTCATTTGTAGGTTCTGTAACATGTTCAGCTGAAATATTGTCTGAGTGGTGCATCTTCCTGAGACGGGACAACAGCTGCACAAGATCAAGCCATTTGAAACAGAGCCTTTGGATTGACTGGTGAAGTAGAGGGAACCATCCATCTCCTTGGCTTGCTTCGTAGACCATCACTTGGCTTTGACCTGCAGGCAGGCACTGTTAGCTTCTGCTGCACAGTTGAGCAGATGGAGTCCAAAGGGAGCATCCGAAGTGGAAACAAACCTGACGCCAAGATCGCCAGCTCTGGGAAGCCGGAGAAGCCTAATCCTGGGCCTGTGGCAACTGGTGAGAAAAAAGAAATGCCTAAGGAGCAACCAGCTCCTGCTACCACCCCAGCAAAAAAGGGGGCAACAGCAGCAAATGATGCCTTGAGCATGCTGAATGACCACAGCAACATAAAGCCTAGTCCTACCACAGCAACAGAAGGCCCTGAAGCAGCCGCTCCGTCTGCTGACTCTGAGCACAAAGAGAACAATGCAGAAGAATCACCAGGCAGCAGCATCTTTGAGAACATGAAGCCTCTGATCATCGTGGGAGGGGTGACAGTGGCTGCCATAGCTGTGATAGTGGGTGTGGCCATCCTTGCCCGAAAAAAATAAAAAAATTGAAATTAAAATTTAAAAAAAACCAAGAAGTACAGGGGAGAGAAATTCTCTGAGCTGTGTACAGTTCCTTTTCAGACAAATGCATGCCGTAAACTCTATACATAATACCTATAAATATGCAGTATATATATAGAGAGAGCGCATTAGGTAGGTAAAATTGCTGTGCTGGCCACTTGACTCATTCAAAATGAGCGTGCCAGGGTTGATCTAGTGTGGGTACGCAGCGCACTTGTGCTCTTTTGTGTAATATAATTTGGCTTGTACCACCATGTATAGATGGGCTTTTTCTGGTCAGTGTAAGCTGTTGCTATGTTTCCTTTCCATAGTCCCTCTTCTCATCTTCATCCAGGTGTTCAAACTTAGTTCCAGTGTTGCATTCAGAGCCTTTTGCTTTCCAATTGGATTAGAAAGGGAGATGTTTCCTATCAACAGGACCACCGGTTCCCACTTCTTGTCCTACTACACTAAAGCTGTTTTGAAAACGTTCAAGGATTCATAAGGAGGCAGCAGCTTCTCCCATCAAAGAGGTGCTTGGTGCCCTCAGTACTCATTTCATCCACCTTTTATCAGAGCATCAGAAGTGGAATCTCATCTTCTAAGTTGCAAGGTTATAACCAGAACATGGCTGGCTGGCTGGCTGAAATTACTAGAAGCAAGTATGACTTATTGAGTTCTACACTGTGTATTTTGGATCTCCTAAGAGTTATCCAAAACAGGCTGCCCATTTATTTGAGCTGACATTGGACATTCCAAGAGCATTCTTTTTGCATCAACTTTGAGATATATGTCAAGTACAGAAACCCCTGGCCCTACACTGGTGAATTGCATATACATACATTGACAGAATGTTTTCTCTCCAGATATTTAAATCAATGGGATCTGAAACTATAGATATCAAGAAACCGTTCTGTGGATATGGATGTGGGATTAATACCAGTGCTTCTCCATGGAAGGCAGAGTGCTATATTTATGTATTTTGAATGAGGTAGAAGAGAAGGTAAGAAGCAAATGTAGTACACAACATATGAGCTTGTTTTCTTTCACTTAGCACCAAGCTCCTTGGAACTGGATGGGCGATCTTTGGGTATTTAATGGCTGTAATACTGGAGGTGACAGAGGACTGGTATAACATTTCACTGAAAATTATGTCGTGAAAACTGACGCATTGGAACTGTTTGATCCCCCTCTACTTCAATTTGAACTGATGGGCGGTTAAGAGGAGAAGAAATTTCTTGTATCTTGGGTTAACCTTGCTTCATTGGTGGCCTTCCTAAAATAAAGACAGACTTGAAGCAGGAAAGAAGAAAGTTAGTATCCTTTTATTTATCTGCTGAAGAACTTTTCAGAATCACAAGACCAGTGGCACATAGATTATAGGAATGATAAAATGACGATTCCAGATAAGAATCTTACATTAAAATGTCTATTTTTTGCTTGGAGTACTCTAGCATAAAAGTGGTCATCAACATGAGATGAGCCTTTATTTAAACAAAAGAAGAAACAGCAGCTAATTAGATAGGCCAGAAGTCTTTTTGCTCTATTAAATTGGGAAAACAACAAGATGTTCATCCCATTATGGACTAGGTTACAAATCAAATATCTATCCTAGAGTTTTGCTTTTTTTAGCTTGTCTAATTCTAGACCAATAACACAATTTGGAAATAGGATAAGGTGGTGACAGTGGCAGGACTACAGTTCATCACCTTAAATAACAGCAATTTCTCTCTCTTGTATTTAAGGCTGTGATATGATAGCTTAGGTCTATAAGGGAATCATTCACATACAGCCATTGCTGAGTACTGTGGTGTCCCACCATCTTGAATCATTCTCTGGAGCCCGCCCCCAGTCTGAGAACACCTGTATTCTTGTGTGAATGTATACAAGCTTCTTTAGTCCTACTTTATTTGAGAATATCTGTGTATCTGTATTACAGTTTCCAGGAGTCTTTGCAAGGCTAACAAATCTGTATTCTTTGTACAGAAAGCAAAAGGCAACCATTATTTGCTCACCTGCATTCACACAAAGTGTCCATGTTTTTTGTCACTTGCATTTCATCATGCAGCACTCCAAAACATGTTTTCCTTTCAATACAAGAATGTATGGTCAGCCTACCGATGAATGTACAATCACCCCTCAAGTGCTAGGAGCTGAAAACAACAATTTCTAAAGAGTCCCTTTCCTAACAATAAATTTAAGTCAGACTATTCCTGCAGTTATGGCTAGAAGAATCAGCTGTGCACTTGGCTTTGCGGGTAGGGAGGCAGAAACTGACAACATGTGCAAACCTAAGAGTTTACACATATCGCGGGTAGTAGTGTAGCTCTGGCTTCTTGACATTTTGGGAGATGGAAGGCTGCTCACCTTCCTTCCCCTTGCCTGGCTGCTGCACCTTCTCTTCTTCAACTCTTCCTGTATTGGCAGCTATAGGGATTCAAGACCTGCACTGAATTGCTACCCGGGTTTCTTCTGCAACATGCATACACTCCTCTCCTGTCTACTTCATTGTGTTAAAGAACAATGTACCATCCCTCACTAGGCCAATGTAACCCTGACTGGGAGACTGTGTATTCAGAATATGTGCACACATAGGCATCTTCCCAGTTCAACTGATCTTGTGCTTTGTGGAAGTGTAGGAACCTTGCAGTGAAGAACACTAGTTGTATCAGTAAACACTCCACTGCAAGCTTCTAAACATGCACCTCTGATCATATGCAGGGTTTTTGTATACTTAGAAGCCAAGCAGGTCAGACTATAACTGCATCCTGACTTGTAATAGCTGCTTTAATTATGCAAACTCTCCCACACTTCATTGCTGGCTTTTGGATGCTGCTTTGTTTGGCATTGAGGAGACATATTCTCAAGGTACTAGTGTTGTTGGGTCCCTAATGAAGCCAGTCATTGCTTTAAACTATTTTTTATGTGTTCTTTTGCGCCAATGTTCCAGAATGGACACATCATTATACAGTTCCTCGACTATTTTTTCTTGTATGCATTCTAATAGTTCCGTCATGTCTTTCCTCTAAAGCAATTGTGATGCTCGCCCTCCATGTTATCAGTATTGCAGTCCTATGAATTAGACAGGGTGACCTTGATCTAGCCATTCTCACTTTAACTTAACTCTATATCACCCCAGTTTTCTTATGCAGCACGCCTGTGCATGTCTGCTTTGTTTAAGGAGACTCACTCTCACGTATATCAGGACAGGACTGCAGCATCATTTGGTCTGCGGCAGTAGAGTAGCCTGTATGAATTGTCTGATTTGTGTGTCATTGAGGACATGCTGTGCAAGAACAGAGCTCTCCTTGCTGGGCTGCCTAAGGAGAGATGGAGCCTCTCCAGCCAGAACAACACACACAGGAAGGGGGAGTAGCAGAGGTGGAAAAATAACAAGACAGTGTGCTATGTTTTTAAATAATAATAACAGGAACCTACTTATGTGTAATTCTCTTTGCTTGTGCCAGAGAATGTTATCTATTCTGTATGTGAAAGAGCCATTTTAATCTCATAGGCTTTGGGAGAATTAGCCTCAATATTTATTTTTATGGTTTTAGTCATTCATGTAGATTTATTTGTTTTCCTACACATGCATACCAAGATCCTTGTTTGCCCTATAAACATACCTTATAAGGATTGGGCATGCCCATTTACATGGCATTGCATCCAGTAAGTTTCACATTTAGCCACCCTGAGTACAAAACTGATTGAGAATAAATTAAGATTTAGTATTCTTGACACATTGGACTATAACTGATGGATGAAATCTGTGTTTAAAGATTGCTCAGATGCAACATTGCTAATGTGTATCTTTACCTATGTTAAGGTAAAATGCTCTGTGTCACTGGTGGTTCCTTAAGACTATTTATGTCACTCTGTGTAATTTCTGTCAATGAATGCTTCTCCAAAGCAGCCTCTCAGGCAAACATAGTCAACAAAAGACTAGGGTGCTGAGTGAGGCATCCCAATGCTTTGCTTGTTTGCTATTTTCCCATTATGTCCTCCCAGCAGCTTTTAGTCCTATATGGAAGAAAGAAAACCGGGAACTCTTTCATTCTCTATGTATGGGCGTGAAAGTTGAAGCTGGGAAAAGAGGGGAGAGGAAAGGATTGCAAGGCGCCTCCTCATATCCCAGTCCTCTTTGATGAAGATCATGGCCTAGGGGGCTGCTTTAGAGAAGGGACAGCCTTTGGATAAAAAGGACCTAATTACCTTGCCAAGTATCAGTTCAAAACAGTGGCTCTCCTAAAGGTGATGTATCTTAAAGGCAAACAGTGGAACTTTGGCCATTTCTGCCACCCCCACCCCCAAGCCCTATTCAGTCCACTGCACTCCCCTGCCCACACCCACCAGTTCCAGAGAAGCTTTGTCAATACCAGGATGTATAGAGTTTGGGTAAGAAGGGATCCTCCTGACACTGTTCCTTTCTTCCTGAATCCCTGGTAAGGGTCACAATATACAGCAAACCCACCCCCATACACATACCTATTGACTTCTCTGCACAATGGAACTCCCCACCCTCTCTAGATGGACTTTATTTAAATTCAGTTTTAAAGTCATTTTAAATGTAAGGCTGAATTCTGCTCCATATTTGAAACCTGCATTGGCTGGGATGTGTATTTTTCGTCTGAATTCTGTCTTCTTCTAATACTATTCATATGCAACACAAGGAATATGAGAGGCATATGAAAAATAACTATGCTACCGTTTTTCACTAGACTTCTAAGAACTGAAGGCCATGCTTTGCTCTGAAGCAGCACAGTAATACCTATTCTTTAATTAGGCACCACCACATGTGATTCACAAATAACACTTATTACAATGCCTAAATGTGAGGAATCAAATCAAATTTAGCCCAGAGCTAATTAACCTTGTGATCTGCCAGTTTTCTACCCTTGTGTTTTCAACTAGACTCCCAAACTGTCAAAAGAGCAAGGGGAATGCAAGATTGCCTCCATATTCTTTTAGTAATAGACCTATGTATTTGTTCTTAAAGGTACTTGATTAGACTCCCCCTTTTTTTCAATTACTGTATGTTTTTTCCCTATACCCACAATCAAAGGGAAGGCTATAGAGTAATACTTACAAATGGGAAGTATTCATTTATTCAATCTGAATGCCCATCATTTGGTTTAGGACCGACATAGAACAGTAAAAGTATACCAGATGACCCCCATAGCAAGTGTCATTTCAAAAACAATAAACATGTTTTTGAAGGGTCCTTCAAGTTACTGTTAGTCCCCAATAATTTTTTTTTTTCAAAGTGGAACTTGTCAGTTAACATCTTGATTTCTTCCCCCAGTGGATAGACCCACTTGTTGCCATAGGCTTGTTTATAACATATAGGTTTAGAGTTTTTTGTTTAATTTTGGAGTCAGCTGTTGGAGAAAACATTTCTCAAATGGAAATGGAAACCTGCTGGAAAATTAATTTTTACCTCCCTGAATTTTTAATCTTGCCTACACTTCTATGGACACTTTGTATGGGCTGCAGCTCAACACCTAAAACAGCAAAGAATTTTTTCCTTTCCCATATAGTATTCTTTTTTATTTGAATTTTAAAATGCGTATAAATGCAATAATGCAGGTAGACTAGAAATACTAGATTGAAATTAAAGTAGTTTAGCTTGTCCCATTGTGACCTACAGTGTTGTATGACACCCAACGCTGTATCCTAGCATTCTTGAGGCTTTCCTACGTAGCTGAATCTAGTATTAGCTTTGAAAATCCATTGTGTGAATGGCGGGGTGGGTTGACTGGAAATGTGTACGCTTTACACACTGTATGTTGTTTTCATCAGAAGCTATATGGCCACTCCTTATATAATGAAACTGTAAATGATTCCCAGTATACCTGTAACTCTTATCAGGATTGTGTGAAATAAACTATGTATATTGTATATTTCCTATGGTAGCAATCATTTTGTGTTTTATGTTTGTACATATAAACTCCTGCTTTTACATTTGCCACATGTTTAATTATGGTGATGTAGTTAGGCCTTCAAGACTATACTACAGTATTCTGCAAAAAGAACTGGAATGTTTTATTAATATATTTAGCTTGTCAAGGTAAGAGGCTGTCACTTATCAAAATATAGATGAGAAAGGAATACATAAAATGTGTTACTCTCTCTAAGATACGAAGAAAGGGAACTCTTATGGGAATTTTGGAAATACAGAAAAATTCAAACCTCACTGCAAGCTCTTCAGGTTGGGATAATGTGGACTTTTGAGTTCACTCTGTACAGAATTGGAAAGTGGTAAGGATTAATAAATTGTGGGTTTAGAAGTTACTCAGAAATGTATTCTGAATGCTTCTGCCGGCAACACATTTCCACAGTTTATTTACAGTTCATTATTGGTTTTGAAAAGAGGGGGAGACAACATGAAACTATATTGAATCTCTTTTGCACGTGTTCTTTCTCTCATTTTGTGTCATGTTTCCTGAAAGGGATTTAAAATATTAGGTTTAGCATCACATTAAATACTACATTATATAGCATATAATATATAGCCATATATATCATATATGTTTATAACATATAAGTTTATGCTATATATATATGGCTCACTAGGGTGAACAATCATCAGTTTGTATATTCCATGATTCTAAAGGGAAGGATCATCACTCCAGTGTTCATTGGGTTAGGAAAAAGATGAAGGAGCATGGGTTACAAAATTTGGATATCATCAAAATTAATTTGTCATTCCCGCTCAGTCCTTTAAGTGTTTAAGAATGCTTGTTGTGACTCATAATACCCACAACAATTCATATTCTTGAGGAATATCATATAGTATAAAATAGGAAGGGGGTGGGGTTTGTACTTCATTGAGGAAATAATGACATGACATTGCATCCAATAAACTTTACCATTTGCTTTGACTCATCTTTTTCAGACTATATCATCTATACATTCTACAGGAGCACATTTTGCAACGTGCACCACTAGGCTTAATTGAAAGCCCTGCATTTAATAAATGCTTCCACACAAGGATTTGTTTGTTTGTTTGTTTATTAGATTTCTATCCCACCCATCTAGACCAAGGGTGTACTCTAGTCTGGGATAACTATCCTATCTGCATTTACATCTGTTTCTCTTATGTTTTCACATCATGGTAGAATAACAAATGATATAAACTAAGCAACACTACATTCAGTTGCCCATAAATGCTTAGTAAGATATATGTGGTTTGACATGCTATGGAAAAGCCTGCCCCTCCTTGCAGCTATCAATAAAATCGAGGTAAGGGGGCAAAGATGTTGTGATACATTGATGCTGTATTATACATTTCTAGAACAAAAATATAATTGGAGAAGAAGGGAAGTGGAACTCTTGGCTTTTTCAATGGCCAACCTGCATTCTAATCTGATATGAATTGAAAGACAAGGAAATTACTGTTGGAGTTTTATTGCAACCTCGCATGCTGCCTATGATTTAAATGACTGTGAGGGACTTTTCTGGGTTCGGGTAACTGTCAATCTATCCAGCACTAGCCAATTGTTTTCTCTCCCATCTCTGAAATCAAAGAGAACCCCATCTCTCTGCTGAGTCTTCCTTTCCCCCTTCTTTAGTCTGTTGTTGACAGCGTCAAGTTTATTTCTTTGCTATTGATCTGTTCACAAGTGTAATGAAACATTTTTATTCTTTCTTCTACAAATGTCTCAGACTGAGTTATTGAGACCTTAAGGGCCAGTAATGAGAAAGGGGTGGATACCTCTAGCAAAGTAGAAAGGCTACTTGGGGTAGTTAGCATGGGAGGAGTGACTGAAACACAATGAGAAAGGGGTGGATTATCTGGGAAACTTGTAGCTTCTTTCTTGTGGATCTCTATACCTCTAGCAAAGTAGAAGGGCTACTTGGGTAGTTGGCATGGGAGGAGTGACTGAAACATTCTACATTTTCATATTCTGGTTAATTCAAAATACAATTTTGACTCATCAGTATTTCCCAATCATACCATCAAACTCCAGGACCAAATTTCAATTTTTCCAAACAAGAATACTAGTATAGATACCAATATAGTCTCTATAAGAATGTGAGACACCTAATACTGTAAACAGAATAATGGACTGGACTCTGAAGGCCTGGGTTTGAACTTGCTCAGCTGTGGAAACCCACTGGTGGTGAACTGCTAAAATAACTCCTTAAATATCCCACTTACATTGAAAGAGTCACTCGTATAAGTCACTTTTAACTTGAAGGCACAGAACAACAAGAATGTCAGAGCGGACTAATATGCCAGTTTCTGGCTCGGGAGCCAGAAATCGGGAGTTAAAATTCTGTTGTCTCTCTCAGGATAAGAACCAGGCTGTGTGGCCTTGAGAAAGGTACACAATCACAGAGTGCCTCCAGAAGAACGGAATGATAAACCACTATATTAAAAAAAAAAACAACTAAAAAAAAACAAACCTGGAAATTGTTGCCTTAACTCAGAATCAACTTGATGGTGTGTTGTTATTACTGCTAGTATTAGTGCCATGAAGAATGCATACATGTGTCTGTATACTTGAATATCAGTGAAAGAGGTTTCAAGCAGTGTTGCTTGGTCAGTACAGTGGTACCTTGCTAGACGACGACCTTGTAAAATGACGAATCCGCATGATGATGAGGTTTTGCGATCGCTATAGCGATTCGCAAAACAGTCATTCCGATGGGGATTTTGGCTGGACAATGATTTGGTCCATGCTTTGTGGACCGTTTGTTCGCAAGACGACTATTTTTACAGCTGATCAGCGGCTCCGCAAAATGGCTTCCCTGTGTTTTCAGGACCCATGCTTTGCAGGACAGCCATCTTAACAGCTGATCAGCACTCGCAAAATGGCTGCCCTATGGGCGATCTTTGCAGAACAGCGAGGTATTTTCCCCATTAGAACACATTAAACTGGGTTCAATGCATTCCAATGGGGAAACGGATTTCGCATGACAATGATTTCGCTAAACAGCGATTTCTATGGAACGGATTATCATCATCATCAGGGGCACCACTGTACCTGTATATTCCCTGAGATTTCATTGCTAAAACCTGAAACCAGAGCCCTTGTGATGTCACAGAGGCAGTTGGAAGGTAAGCAAGCACAGTGCATATAAAGATACCCTCCCACTGATCTGGTAGGCCCTGGTGCCAGCTGGGAATGAGTAGGGAAGGGCACCCAGCGTGTAAAAATCACATGCGAAATCAAACTTGCACTTCTTCCATTGTTCACTTGCTCTGAGGTCTGCCTCCCAGCCTGGAGAAGCAGACCAGTCTCCAGAGATGTCATCGAGCACCCTAAGTCTTCGCAACCCTAGTTTCAAGTTAAAACAATATGGATTTATATTCAAGACCTTTTGTAGCAAACTGGCTAATTACTTTCTGAAATACCAAATGATCACACCATAGACTAAAGCCCAGAAAATGCATCCAGCAATAACAGCACCTAAAATGTACTTTCCAGCTGCAAGGAAAAATATAAGAAATAGGACACTCATCCCACAGAAGTAACAATTATCCATTATCTCCCACAATGTGGCTATAGATAGTACTTTCCAGGAAACCTCCTAAGGAGTAACATAATTAATAATGCAACCGACTGTGTGGGTGCTCACAACTAAGATCACTGTTACAATTTAGGTGACATTTCTTATTCTTAAAAGAAAAGGGAGAGGACAGCATGGCATGGATGGTTTAATGTATGGGAGGTGCACAACTTTTCAGTGAAATTAAAATCACAAATGATCTTGCACTGGGTGCTGATGTTAACACACATATTTATTTTTATTCATTTATTTAACTTATATACCACCCATCTAGAATATGTCTACTCTGGGCGGTTTACACAAAATATAAAAAATAAACTATGAAAGTATAAATGTACTAAGAATAAAACCCAAATTAACTGCAGAATCCAAGATAAAAGAAAGAAATGCTTCCCCAGGTGAAGAAATAAATGATTTGGGAATTGGTAGAGGATTGCTGCCTTGTCGTGGCGAAGGGGCTTGAGTAATTCAGAGAAACTATGGGCTATGCCGTGCAGGGACACCCAAGACGGACAGGTCATAGTGGAGAGTTCCGACTAAACGCAATCCACCTAGAGAAGGAACTGGCAAGCCACTCCAGTATCTTTGCCAAGAAAATCCCATAATCAGAAATAAAAGGCTAAAAGGTATGACGCTGGGAGATGACCCCCTCAGGTCAGAAGGCATCCAACATGCTACTGAGGAAGAGCGGAGGACAAATACAAGTAGCTCCAGAGCTAATGAAGTGGTTGGGCCCAATACGAAAGGACGCTCAGCTGTGGACGTGCCTGGAAGTGAAAGGAAAGTCCGATGCTGCAAAGAAAAATACTGCA